TCCAAATGAGTTTCTAAAGGCATAGCACAGAATTTTGTTTTCTTTCCAATTTTTTTTATTGGCAAGGTGATCTACAAAGGGGTTACAGTTACATAAATAAGGTAATAAGTACATTTCTTGTCAAACTAGTTACTCCCTCCCTCATTTTTCTCCCATATTCCCAACCCCTCCTACCCACCCCCAAGTTGTACAGATCATTTTGAAAAACAATTTCATCTAATATTTGAAAAAATGTTTGGCTGTTAAAATAAGGATGTCAGCAGTTCCAGTGACTTCCAGATGGAATGACAATATGGCAGTTTGGCACCTAGGAAGAAAGTCCTGATTTCAAGAAAGACAGTCAAAACCATAGTTTGGGGGGCTCCAAGGAAATGGCTTGAGAGGAAGCTTCTCAGGCTATTACATTGTGAGCAGTCACCTGAAGATTCTCTAAAATGAAGACCTCGGTTCAGCAAGTCAGAGTCTAGGGCCCCTACTTTTCTAGCAAGTGCCAAATCACATACCAAAGAACCACAACAACCTCTAGCCCACACGTATTATGGTCCAGAGGGGCAGTTACTGCCAGTTCCTGCTCAGATTTGTATAATGTCTGTGTGTACCTGAAGAAGTCCCTGAATTATCTTTCCTTTCCCAAAGAGTGGCCTGCAATTGAGACCCGCAGCTCTATGTAGCCAGACAATCTTAGGGAGGACTCTGAATTTCAAACTGCCTCCTTAGCTTGCCCTCTGCTGGTGAATGAGGGTCATTTTTCTCCCCCACCTGCATTCAGCCTTTCTTGCTGTCCAAATGCTCAATGCTTCTTTTCAGTTAATACAAACAGAAAGTCATGACTGATTCCAGAGGTTTGTTTCATTCTTCTAGATTTGGGGGAATTTCCCTAATTCTGTTCTTTACAGTTCCATACATTCCTCACAGGAGGCGGGTAAATGGTTAATCTGGTAGTAACCCATGTTTCTATATGTGGCCTAAAGGTCTTCCACTATCCCAACTTTGTTCTTACCCATTCCAGGCATTTTCCACAGAGATTGCCAGGGGTCTTTTATTCACAGACAGCACATACAAAGTTGAGGAACAATGACTTTTTTATTGTGAAAATACTGTACAGAGGGGTTACAATTACATGGGCAAGATAATGAGTACATTTCTTATCAAGCATTATAATTACATGGGCAAGATAATGAGTACATTTCTTATCAAGCATTATAACCTCCTCCTTTGTTTCCTCTTCCCATCCCATCCTCCCCCCACTCCCCACCCAACCCTCCCCCCGCCACCAAAGTTGTAAAGTTCGTTTTTGACATAACAACTTGTACATCTCATTGTTGCAATGGGTCCACCTGTATCCCTATTTAAATGATTTGTTTTTTCCCTTTCCCTCCACAAATTATACTGGCATCAAATACAGTGAAAGCAGGGGTTATACCATGGGGGAAGGACATACAAAATGAAAAAAATTATCATATAAATGTGTTAGAAACAATTGCATGAAAGAAGAAAAAACATTTGAATACATATCTTAGGGTTCATTTCCCTAACATCAACTTATCTGACCTTTTCTGCTTGACTCAGACATATACTAGTTATTGCAAATAAGGGAAACCATGGGACCTATGTTTCTTTGGGCCTGGATTACTTCACTTAATATAATTTTTTCCAAGCCTTTCCATTTCCTAACAAATGGGGCAATGTCATTCTTTCTGATGGAGGCATAGAATTCCATTGTGCATATATACCACATTTTCTTGATCCATTCATCTACTGAGGGGCATCTGGGTTGGTTCCATATCTTAGCTATGATAAATAATGCTGCAATGAACATAGTCGTGCTGGTAGCTTTATTGTGGTCTTGTTTGTGAACATTTGGGTAAATGCCCAAAAGTGGGATTGGTGGGTCATAGGGGAGCTCTATGTGGAGTCTTTTGAGGAACCTCCATACTTCTTTCCAAAGTGTTGAACAAGTTTACATTCCCACCAACAATGCAGTAAGTTTCCCTTCTGTCCACATCCCCTCCAGCATCTGCTGTTATTAGAGTTCTTGATTATAGCCATTCTAACTGGGGTGAGGTGGTATCTCAATGTTTTGATTTGCATTTCTTTTATGGCTAGGGAGGTTGAGCATTTTTTTATGAGTCTATTGGCCATCCTTCTTTCCTCTTCAGAGAAGTTTCCCTTTAGCCCACTTATTTATTGGGCAGTTGTTTCTTTGAGGATTTGTTGTTGGGGGATTTAATTTTTTGAGTTCCAGATATATTTTAGATATGAGACCCTTGTCCGTTATATGGCTAGTGAAGATCTTCTCCCAATCTGTGGGCTTTCTATTGATCTTGCTAGCTATGTCCTTTGCATGCAGAAGCTCTGCAATTTCATGCAATCCCATTTGTCCAACCTTTCTTTGTTTTTTTTGGGGGGGGGTCCGGTTGTGGGGCTTGAACTCTGGGCCTGGGCACTGTCCCTCAGCTCTTCAGCTCACACTCTACCACTTGAGCCACAGTGCTACTTCCGGCTTTTTTTTTTCTGCTTATGTGGTGCTGAGGAATCGAACCCAGGGCCTCATGCATGCAAGGCAAGCACTCTAGCACTGAGCCACCTTCCCAGCCCTGTCCAACCTTTCTTTGATTTGTTGTGTTTCTGGGTCTCTATTAAGAAAATTTCGGCCTATGCCAAGGAGACCTAGAGTTTCTCCTATTCCATCCTGTAATGTTTTCAGGGTGTCGGCTTTGACTCCGAGGTCTTTGATCCATTTGGAGTTGACTCTGGTGCAGGGTGATATATAAGGATCTAGCTTTAGTTTTCTACAAGTGATTAACCAATTTTTCCAGCACCATTTACTGAAGAGGCTTTCTTTCTTCCATTCTATTTTTTTAGCTCCCTTATCGAAGATTAGATAGCTATAGGTCTGTAGGTTGATTTCTGGGTTTTCAATTCTATTTCATTGGTCCTGAGGTCTGTTCTTGTGCCAGTACCAAGCTGTTTTGATTACTATGACATTGTAGCAGAGTTTGAAATTTGGTATTGATATTCCTCCAGCACTGTTCTTTCTGTTGAGGATCGTTTTTGCTATTCTTTTATTGTTCCATATAAATTTTTTGATTGCCTCTTCTACTTCTTTGAAGAATGAGGTTGGAATATTGATAGTTATCGCATTGAATTTGTAAATATCCTTGGGAAATATTGCCATTTTATGATGTTGATCTTTCCAATCCAGGAAACAATGACTTTTTTTGACCAAGGCTCTAGTTGGGTCATGGAGGCATACTTAAAATGTCCCAGAGACACCAGGAAAAGAGAACAGTTTAGAGAAGTGTGGGAAGATTCAGGTCACAACTCTTATCACCATCATTTGTTTCTTAAAACATTTTTTGGCTGGGTGCAGTGGCTCATGCCTATAATTCTAGCTACTTGAGGCAGAGATCAGGAGGATCCTGACTGGAAGATGGCCGGAACCAAAAGTAAGCAAGACCTCCATCTCAACCAATAGCTAGGCATAATGGTGTGCACATGTCATCTGCATAGGAAGCTTAACAAGGAGGATTACAGTTCAGGAGTATATGGGCATAGAGGGGGACACTATTCATAAAATAACCAAATAATAAAGGACCAGGGATGTGAATCAACTGGTGAAGTGTCTGCCTAACAAGTTCAAAGCCCTGAGTTCAAACCCAGTGCCACTCAGAAATTTAAAACACAAACACACATACACACACTTCTCAATCACCTTTTGTATGTAAGAGTTGAGACCAGAAAATCAGGATTCCTAAACCCTGCACACTAAGGGTGAGGGTCTACTAGAGAAACTGAGCATAATAGCTAATGCTTTGCATGTTATGCCATACACCAAGTGGCATATGTATGTTACCTTTCCTTGATCATAGTCATTGTACGAACAGAAATTTGAAGTGCAGTGACTTTAGGTAACATTTTTAGTAAATGACAAAGTCAGGTGGTTTGAAAGAACAATATGTGCCAGCTGTGGTGGCACATGCTTATAATCTAGCACTTGGTTGCTGAGTTGGAAGGACCACCAATTTGAGGTGAAGCTGCAGTATACTGCAAGACACAGTCTCAAAACTATATGATCATGTGGTTCTGGTGTTTGATGGACTTAACTGGTGGTCTCTCACCCTGAGTACCTTGTACATAACAGTCAGATAGTGGCGAAAGCTGGAGTCGGGCATGTCCTGGTGTAGTAAGTTTTCCTCACGACTTGGCAGTTTCGGGGTACTTGAACATCTTAGAATCTGGTTTCCTCTATAGCAATTATTCTACCATGCTAGGCAGAAATGCAAAGCCCCGGTGTCCAAAAGCATGCAGCATCATTCCAGCCATGTTCTTCTGCTCAGAATCATCCTAGGTCAGCTCAGATACATAGGGAGAAGAGGGCTCTGTGCCCTGGGGGTGGGGGGGAGAGCTTACAAAGTAAGGAAATTATTAAGCCCATCTTGGAGATGGATGAGCCACCAATAGCCAGATGTGGCCCTAGTCAATGTGGCTCCAATTGTGCAGGCTCTGCCATTAGGATCCTCCAAACTACCAGCACATACACCCAGCCATGTGTACTACAGGTAGCTGGAAGAAGATGAATTGGTGGAATGAAGGAGGAAGTGGTCAGTTTGGCCTCAGTAGCCCAGAGAATACTTCCTATAGGAGAAGCACACACACACACACACACACACACACACACACACACACACACACACACACACACACACAATCTGGCTCGCTTAAATGTAAAGGACAGACTTTGATGGCACTGGGCAGCCTATAATTAAGATGACCTTAAAGCTGAGGACAAAAGACAGCTCTGAGGTAGCTCATAGCCAGAGTCTACCATGGAGTGGAGGAGCCATGAAGTCCAGTCCCTCTAGAAACTAAGAGGCAGTGCCGCATGCTAGAGAGAAACCAGAAGGCCAACAACTACAAGAATGAGAGGCTTCATTCTTTCCTGAACACCAGCACACTGGACTTTCTGAACATATTGTGATCTGGTCCCCACCCTGCAGATTGGAGTCCCACACTTGGTGATCTGCATGGACTGCTCGGCAGACACCATGACCAACCGCCTTCTCCAAAGGAGCCAGAGCAGCCCGTGCCTAGAGGACACCACCAAGACCATTGCCAAGCGTCTGGAAACCTACTACCGAGCGTCCATCCCCGTGATGGCCTACTATGAAGCAAAAACACAGCTGCGGAAGGCAAGCACCAGTCCCCTCCCCATCCCCACCCCCACCCCCACCCCAAGACAGTGGTCTGCCACTTTTCTTCTTTCCAAGGAAAGAGGAAAGGGTGGAGAGCTTTGGTGATGGGGACTTGAGGTACATGAAGCTACAGAATTTGGGCAAAAATATGAATCCCCTACTGTCTTCACTATTGTGTCAATCACGTTTAAATATGTGTCATTATAGGGGGCCATAAAAACTTCTCATTTAAGTTTCACAGGTGCTATTGTAACTGTTGAATATTCCTTTGTCACAGAGGGGAGGGAGAGAAGAAGAAGAAGCAGAAGCCCCCAAACTCTTGGGCAATTTCTTCTTTTCTTTTTTTCCTTCCTTTCTTTCTAGTTATCGTCAAGTAGTTGTACAATTCACATGTTAGTTTATAAAGGCAATGTCTCTTGATCAACATCGCCTGTGTCCTTATTCTCCCCATCTCTTCCCAATCCAACCCAGCCCCTCAATTTACCTCGTTTCATTTTCACAGATGTAGATTGAATATTATGACTGCACTCACCCATCCACCCACCCACCCCCCCTCTCCCCATTCATTTCTTCCCCAATCTTCTTAAGTGATTTCTAGACTTCAGCTTTTCTAGGTCCTTTGAATTCTGGAGTTTTACACAGTGCACAATTAGCACTCACTTCATTTCATCAGTTTCTTACAATCATTAATGCTTTTTGGGGGAGAGCAAATTAGTAGATGAAACTAGAGGTATGTAGGAGGTTGGGCAGTATCAACTACATGAGAGAGAGAAAGGAAAGTGAGAGAGGAAAACAATAGGCAAATAATTTTTAACTATGAATAAAACAAAAGGATATGTTGTTGGGGCTGATTATTAAGAGAGTCTCTTTGAAGATGTAGCTTTAATTCACTAAGGCTTTGTTGCTATGAACAGGGTTGCCTAGATCTCTTCCATACAAAGTAGGTGGAGACTAAAAATTCCAGAGGAGGAGGGCTTGTTGTGAACTGAGAGAAAATGCAGAAATATACCTCAGAGAACATGGACAGATTCTATAAGCTGATAAGTATGTAAGTAAGTGTAAGTTGATTTATAAGTTTCTTAAGTATGAAAATAATAAGTATGCATTGTTTAAAGAAGCAAGCCAGACACCAGTGGCTTATAGCTACACAGGAGACTGAGATATGAGAATTGTGGTTCAAAGTCAGCCTGGGCAGGAGAGTTTGTGAGACTTCTTATTTCCACTGAACTACAAAAAAAAAAAAAAAAAAAAAAAGCTGAAAGTGGAGCTGTGGCTCAAATGATAGAGCACTAGTTTTGAGCAAAAGGAGCTCAGAGACAGTGCCTGCACCCTGAGTTCAAGCTCCAGGATCAGCACAAGAGGAAGGAAGGGAGGGAGGTAGGGAGGGAAGGAGGGAGGGAGGGAGGGAACTAAAACATTTGAGAAGACAAAGAGAAAAGTAAAATTTATCCAGAATTCTTCCACAGAAAAATAATCACAAATAAATCAATACATTTTCTCACCTTTTCTTTCTTCATCCATTTTTGGTTTTGTTTTGTTTAGTAATTAACTCTTTATTCTTACAGCTAGTCGCAATTATTATAAATACCCCACCAACATGCCGTAGCTATCTTATGTATCATCATAAAGAAGACTATTTTTATATGTTTTTTTTTTGTCAGTTGTGGGGCTTGGACTCTGGGCCTGGGCGCTGTCCCTCAGCTCAAAGTGAACACTCTACCACTTGAGCCACAGTGCCACTTCCAGTTTTCCGGTGGTTAATTGGAGATAAGAGTCCTATAGATGTTCCTGCCCATATTGGCTTTGAACCACATCTTCAGATCTCAGCCTCCTGAATAGTTAGGATTATCGGCCTGAGTCACCAAAGCCCAGCTTGGTAATATTTTTTAAAGACCAAAATGTTTAATGGGAAAAAAAAAACAAAACAGAACTGCTATACTCCAGGAATTACATTTGTTTTGTTCACTGCTTTATTACCAGTCTGCAACACAGTGCCTGGCACAAAGTGATAAAAGGACAGAAGGTATGTAATAAATATCCCATGCACCCAGGTACTAGTGGCTCATGCACGTAATCCTAGCTATGCAGGAGCCTGAGACCCAGAAGATAAGAATTCAAAACTAGGCTAGACAAAAAAGTCCTTGAGACTCCAATCCTAAAATAACCGACAAAAGTCAGTCTGTAGATGTGGCTTAAGTGGTAGAGCATCATCCAAAACCAAGAAAACCAAACAAGGGCAAAGCCCAGAATTTAAACTCCGCTATTAATGTATGCACGCAACACACACACACACACACACACACACACACACACACAGAGTGCTTAGTATTCAAAGAATTTTATTTTTAAATTTTCTAGTTTCTGTAGTATACTTTTCAGGAGTCTTATCTGCTGAGTCACTAAAATTGTATATTTTGTCTTTTTTCTGTGGATTTTTTTTAGACCTCCAGTTTGAGTTTACTTATCTGTTCCAGCTATCTGTATATAAGAAACCACTTACTCTATCATCATGGCTTCAGTGCATGAAGAGTGAGGGAAGGTTTGTGCAGGTGCATGAGGGGAGCTCTGCTCTGCTCTGTGACAGCTGAGGGCTTCTGCTGGAATTATTCAAATGGCCAGGGATGGCCCAAAAGAATTGGGGCCACCACTGCAATGGTAGCTCTTCATTCTCACGATGACATCCTAGCAAGGATGGTTTGGCTGGAACAGTTGACCTGAGCACCTGCAGGCAGCTTCTCTAGAGCAACCTGTGCTTCTTGAAGCTTCTTTCCAGGTTCAAAAGGTGAAGCCCCATTGGAAGCACACAGGGAGGGAGGTCCAGGGAACCACCAGCAGCTGCGATACCATGCACTCTCACCTAGGCTACGAGGGCCATGTGGCTTGCTTCTACGCTATATTGATTACAAGTAACAAAGGGCAGCCTCCATTCAAGAGGAAGTAGATTAGAACTGGGGGCAGGTGTGGAATTGTGCACACACCTGCACTTACACATGCCCAATACTCGGGCTTGAACTTACAAGTCTCATGCACTTACTCTACTTTTTCTTCCTTTTCCTCTCTCCTTTTTCAACCATATCTGATGCCCTATCACTTGAGCCACAGTTCCACTTCTGGCTTTTGGCTGATTAATTGGAGATGAGTTGCTAGAATTTGTCTGCCCAGACATGATTCAAATCGCTTTTCTTAGATCTCAGCCTACTGAGTAGCTGTTTTGATGGGTGAATGCATAGCAAGGTTATGTGGCCTAGAAGATATTAATGCAACCATCTTTGGTTTGGTTTGGTTTGGTTTTCCAATTCAAGAGTGGAGATACAGGGACAGGGGGCCTCCCAGGCCCAGAGCTACCAATGAACAGGGTGGGCAGGTTGTGTTAATCTCATTTTAGAGTCCCTCAAATACTGGTGGCACTGGGCACTGATCATGTTCTGATTTCCTCTGGAGGGCAGAGTGCCAAGCTCCCTGCACAGCCTGTGGTCTCTGAGAGACTTTGACAGATCAATGATAAGATTGAGATGTGAGGAACAGAAGCCTCTCACAGCTAGCCTTTGTGTTATCTCTCCTCTGCTGCTCTTTTGCAATTACAGTATTAAACTATACTCAAAAACAACCCACTAGTGAGGTATAAGGGAAAATTCTCACCTTCAAAGGACATTGCCACTTAGCCAAGGACTGATGCTTGTTTTGGGACACAGCATAGCCCAGAGACAGAGACAGAAATGGAGACACACACAGACATGGAGAGACACAGAGAAACAGATTATGAATTCTAATTCCATTGGCAATAGGTAGCAATTCCATTTCAGTTTGGCAGAATTCCTATGACTATCTATCTTTAATAGGTTTTTACTGGTAGTTCAGTAGGAAATTAACTAAATGAGGCCCTGTCAGGGATGCTGGAAAGACCTTATACAATGTGAGTTCAAGACAAAGGGGGAAGTGAACTTAGATCAGTACTAAGGTTCTGTCTCCTTCCCTCAGAAGTTAGACATAAATCTTCTGTCTCTAAGGGACTGAGAAATTCATTTTCTTTTTCTTTTTTTCGTGTGTGTGTGTGTGTGTGTGTGTGTGTGTGTGTGTGTGTGTGTGTGTGTGGTGACACGTGCACACCTGTGCTATAGGTTGAGCTCAAGGTCTAGACTCTGTCCTTTAACTTTTTGCTCCCAGATAGCACTCTACCACTTGAACCACTTTTGGTTGTTTGCTGGTTAATTAGAAATGAGAATCTCATGGACTTTTCTACCCAGTCTGGCTTGGAACTGCAATCCTTAGAGCTCAGCTTCCTGAGTAACTAGGATTACATGTGTGAGCCATTGCCACCTGGCTGAGAAACTCATTCTTGATAACTATGAAAATCTTTTTCCTGTTTGTCATATGGTCCCTCAATTCCTGCAAAGTCCTTTGTATTCAATGCACTGTGTTCTGAACCCTGCAATCCTCATGAAATGAATTGTGGTGGGGTTTTATTTATTTATTGTTTGTTTGTTTGTCAGTCGGTTGTAGAGCCTGAACTCTGGGCCTGGGCGCTGTCCCTCAGCTCTTCAGCCCAAGGCTAGAGCTCTACCACTTGAGCCACAGCACCACTTCCAGCTTTTTTTGCTTATGTGGTGCTGAGGAATCAAACCCAGGGTCTCATGCATGCAAAGCAAGCACTCTACCACTGAGCCACCTTTCCCAGCCCCTGAATTGTGTTTTTTTGAGCTGTATCCAACCCAAAGAATTAGCCAGAGAGAATACCAGACCTTTGTACTGATCTGTCCACATTCTTCACTGACTCCCTCGGCAGTTGCCTTGGTCACATGGTGGGTTTTGTCTCTGCTCCTGATCTCCCATGGTCTAAGTTGTTCCAAATATATTTTTTAATTTTCCGATAAATGAGTCAAATATAAAATTTAAAACGTTAGATGAATTCTCACAGTACTAAATACTGAGCTCCTCAGTTGCACCAGCCACATTTCCAGTGTTCCGCAGCCCCTCGTGACCAGTGGCTCCGCTTGGCA